ATGAGTGGGAAATTACAACTAACATGGATGTTACATGTAACGTACACGTTATATTACCTGTTATATTCCGTTTCATTATAGCAATGTAACAATTGTATATCGGTGTTTGCTGGGTGTGTGAATATTATTATTAATAAGGTAGTAAATAATTTAAGAATTATTCTGGCGAAGATACTTTTAATTTATAGGTTTTCTACTTTTAATTTATAAACTGGACAAATGTCGAGGTGGAGATTTAGGGATCCTTCGGGATGAGGGACCACGGAACAATTCCTTTTCCCCCTTTGTCTAAAGAATTTAAGAATGCACGAAAAAAAACGTTTTTCAGGTAAACGTTCCCAGTAAACACAATATATAAATGTTATATACTTAAGCATGTTACATGTAACGTATATGTTAGTTGTAATTTCCCACTCCTAGATGTAACATTTTTAATATTACATATATTACATTGTAGTTATATTGTCATTAAATTCCAAGATAGCACTGACTTATCAATTCATCAATGTGCTATTTGGTATATAATTACAATATAACTACAATGTAATATATGTTATATTAAAATGCTACATCTATGAGTATGAAATTACAACTAACATGGATGTTACATGAAACGTACACGTTATATTACCTGTTATAATCCGTTTTATTATAGCAATGTACCAATTATATATCGGTGTTTGCTGGGTTCATTACGGACTACAGCGACCCTGGTTTCTACAAAAGTGTTAAGACTTCCTAGATTTAGCATCTTGGAAACTGGCCATTTTCTGGATGGTGTAAATTGGAAAAACACTCGGAAAGAACACACCAAAAATATACAAATAGATTTTGTTATTTGAAGATTTTTCCTCAGCAAAAATATTAAAGCATCAATAATTTTCGAGTTATAAGCGTTTCAAAATTAAGAATTCGCTGTAAACTAAGCCTTGTGGAAATAAAATATTTAAAAATCCACATTCTCCAATAATTTTCAAATAGAGTTTTTTTTAATAAAATTTTAATTTAAGGTTTTCTTATAAAAATATATGATAGCAAAAATTGGAAACATGCAAAAAATGATGGCGTCCCTCGAGATTTTTGTTGAAGAAAAATCGTTTTCAAATAACAAGATCTACTACACTTGTATAATTTCGATGTAACATCTTATGTATAACACCCTGTATATATTTATTAAGCTTGTTTTCTTATCCTTTTTTCATTGATCTTATCTCTTATTCTATATCTTTGGTGTATTTACGACGCATCAAAAAAAATCGTATACCCTTATTATAAACTATTACAATAATTCGAAGATATTCTCTTCTCATTATTATTTTTATATGTAATTAAATATTTTTTTAATGTGCAATTTCGATGTTTTATGTAACTTTAGCAAAAGAAACTCATAAGACGAGAATATTTTCATCCAGTTGTATTGTTATACGTTCAGATCTGTGGAAGGCTAGAGGGTAAAATGCATTGTATAGGAATAAGAAATATTCAACCGTTTCCAGACTTTTGGGACACTCTGTATATGTATATGCATACAGGGTTTTCTAAACATATTTCAACTGTATATTTGTCATTTTGAACGAAACCCTAAGACTTAAAAGGTCTACAAAAGAAAGGAAACTCCTCAGGTAGTACAGTAATTCGTTAAGTTTTAGAAACGTTTCATAACTAGCTCTCAGAAACGTTTATTAATTGGATAAAATTTCCACTCAAAAACGTTTAAGAAACCGTTTATTTTAGAGTTCGTTTTAAATCGCATATTGAGCAATAATTTTTGCAATGCTGTAAAATATTTTTGCAACGTTAATATAACATTTATGAAATATTGCACAATATTTCTTATTTATCATTTTCTTCATTTATTTGTCCAGTTTTTAAATAATCAATTTAATCTGTTGGGATTGTATCAAAATAATTAAACTGATAAAAATGATTGATTGTAATAGTTACTTTTTGCATGCTTTATATTTTTATATAATTCTCTGACTAAAACTTAATAGCGAGATAGATAGCTCAGTTCGCGGCGCATAGCGGTAAATAAAGGAACTATGTGATTGCATTATAATATAGCAATAAAATTTTGCAATGTCTTCTATAAAATATTAATTTATAATATTTGCATAATATTGTTGCAATATTTCTAATGTAGCTCAATGTTGAAATATTTATTTTATTGCAATATTTTAGCAATATTTCGTGCCGTGGAGATATAATTTAAACGTGAAAGAAATGTTTCTTAAATTAAACGGTTAAAAAATTTAGGAAACATTTCTGAAACGTACACGTGCTACCTGGGTCGGAAAATGACAATCTGTCGAGTCTATTGCACTCATTCAGGTATGTGTATAAAAATAGATCGTTAGAATAAGACTCTAAAGGTTCTTTGCTCAACAAGGCAACAGAGGCAATAATAGGAACAGGGAATAAAAAGATTCCAACAATTGAAAAAGAGAATAGATATTAATATAAATTTAACATATATAAGATAGGCAATAAGAGCCAAATCGCGGATGACAGTGCGTTATTCTAAACGAAACTAAATTTTTTCGTTAGAATTAAATACCTGTGCACAAGGCACCAAATTTTTACTTGGACACGGCCAAGATATAAAATTGGAATAATCTCTACAAGAGATTTTTAATTCCATGTATCCCCTATTCCCCCTAAAGAAAATAAAGTGCGAGAGAAAAATATAGATCCGAAAGTCGCAGAATCGGGAATCGAACCCGAGACCTTTCGCTTGCCGGGCGACTGCTCTTCCAACTGAGCTATTCAGATCCTTTCGATTCTATACTTTTCTCTGTTATATATATTAATGTTGGTAAATAAACGCCTTTAAGCCAGCCAGAATAGATATTATTTTCTGATTTATTTGATGTATTTATTATATTTTATGTCTTAGTTTGTTTTATTTATTTTTTTCCATATTTCTATTGCTTATTGCTTGGCATTGTGTAAGGGCTTTTAACAAAAAATCGAAGAGTTTGATTTGGTCTGACAATTTGGCCCCAAAACAGAACAGCAGTCAAAAGATCGCAACAGAGACAATAATAGGAACAGAGAATAAAAAGTGTCCAACAATTAGAGAAGAGAATAGATATTATTTTCTGATTTATTTGATGTATTTATTATATATTTTATGTCCTAGTTTGTTTTATATACAGGGTTTGTCCGGAAAGTAATGCGTCGCATTTTTTTAAAAAAGAATTTATTGATCGCATAGGTAAAACAACTTAAAATTGTTCGAAGTATGACCCTTCTGCGTCAATACATTTTTGCCAACGCGATTTCCATGCGTCATAAGATTTCTGGAACTCCTTGACTGGGATGCTGTTCAGGGAGGCCGTCGAAGTAGCTTGTACGTTGTCAACCGACTCGAGCTGTTGTCCTTTGAGCTCCCTTTTCAGCCGAGGAAATAAAAAAAAGTCCGCCGGGGCCAAGTCGGGACTGTAGGGCGGCTGCGGCACCGTTGCCACACCGATCCGGGTCAGGTAGGCCGTAATAACAAAGGCGGTGTGAGCCGGCGCGTTGTCGTGATGGAGTTTCCATGAAGCGCGGATCTCCTTTCGGACGCGGGCGATCCTGTGATTCAGTCTCTGAAGCACTTCCTTGTAAAATTGAGCGTTGACAGTCTGGCCGGGGGGTACGAATTCATGGTGCACTATCCCCTTTGCATCAAAAAAAACAATGAGCATTGACTTCACCCGGGACTTGCTCATGCGAGCCTTCTTCTGGCGCGGCGACGACGTCGTGTGCCATTCCGCACTCTGCCTCTTTGACTCCGGATCGTACTGAAAGACCCATGACTCATCCCCAGTGATAACGTTGTTCAGGAAATTGGGATTATCTGCACAGAGTTGCTTGAGTTCTTCACAAACTTCCACTCGGTGTTGCTTTCTCCATCACAAGTTCGACGCGACCACTAAGCAGAGGTTCACAGAATAAGCCGTCCTAACCCTCCAAGCGCATGGAAACAATTGAGCGACCTACCGTTGGAAAGCTAAGGGTACCCCCCTTCCTCCCCAACCGGTCCCATCGCTCTGCGATGTATAGTCGCGTCACAAAAAAATGCGACGCATTACTTTCCGGACAAACCCTGTATTTTTAATTTTTTTTCTATATTTTTATTGCTTATTGCTTGGCATTGTGTAAGGGCTTTTAACAGAGAATCGAAGAGTTTGATTTGGTCTGACAATTTGGCCCTAAAACAGGGTAGCAGTCAAAAGATCGCTTTTATATACAGGGTGTCCGAAAAATCGCCTACTCCGGAAATGAGTTAAAAAAATTTTAAAAAATTATAATTTAAAAAGATTAAAAATAAAAATTAAAAATTAAAAATTAAATAAAAATAACATAATAATTAAAAAATAAAAATTTTTATTTTTAGAAATAATTAAGAAAGAGAGATGCCAAGCCGATTCTAAATTACAATTTTTGAACATAAAAGTAGCTATAACTCGGAAACGGCTCATTTCCGGACCTACGTTTGTCTGAACTTTTTTACTTGTTATTGGGTCCCGAATCACTTCCCGAAGCGGAGTAGGTTTCGGACACCCTGTATAAAATCATGTTATAATTATTATTATGTTTAATTATAAAAAAATTGAATATTTAATGTGTATTTAAAAACTTTAGATTATACACACATAAATAATATATTTTATTTTAATTTTTTACTGCACCTTTATCACGTTAATATAACAATGTTTACTGAAATCCAATCTAATGTTAAGAATTTTCTAATTAAAAAAAAATCTTAATTACTATTCAAATAGTCCTGTATCCGTTTTGTATATTTGCAATAATTAATTAAAAAAGATGAGCCAATCTGATAATTATTATATCGGACACCCTGTATCAAGATTAAGATCATTAAAGGTCGGCAAATTAACATTTTACCCTTCTGATATTCTGAATAAATTATATAAGTTGAACTTAAAAAAATAGATTTATTAATAATAATAATAATAATAATAATAATAATAAAGAATAAAGATAGCCAAGAGTCGCGAATAGCATCGATTTTATTCCAAAGCAAATGCTATAAATTGTACTAACTAGTTCTTTTACACATGTATAGATACTGAATACAATACTCGTCTCTTTTGTATTGCACGTGAAATTTAAACGAAATCGCAGAAGAGTTTTTGACACTTTGTCTCTTTCTCCGTCCCTCTCTCTATATCTTAACTCGAATGTATTTACAAAGAAAAGAGGAATTGCCGTGCGATTTTTTACGAAAAGGTCTTTGGTTGAATATTCAATTCATGTTATCGGTTGTCAGCGCAAGAGTTGTAAGCACCGATCGCCGATTTGGATTCACTCCTAGATTCTCCCAATTTATCCAAGACAAGCGTGCTGTCAGATCTGGAACAATTATCGCAATATTTAATACCTTGAGAAATTGTAATACATATTACGCAATTTTTATAAGCTGACATGTTGCGAGATTCATGAGATTAATTTATTTTATTTTATTTTATTAATTTAATTTTATATGTAAATATTTAATTTTCTAAATAAATGCACGTTGTAACTCGTTTTTGATAAATCTGTACAAAAACTTACATATAGAGGATTCAATCCTGAGTAACAAACGCTCGAAATTAGGCTGCGCTCTCTTATAATTCTTGAGATATTTTAAATTATAGATGTATAGCTAAAACTAATATCGAGAATTGTTGATAGTGTCTTAGAATGTTACACAAATTTCAGAAATGAGTAGAACATATATTTAAATTGTCGTAAAAAATCATATATATTACCATATCATAAAAATGATATAAAATCGTATTAATTATAAGCACTATATTATTATTTATATTTTTATTATAAAATTAATGCATGATCGGAAGAGGGAGTTTTCTCTTTTCCTGTATCGCCACTTTTAAAATTTTAACATATCTTCAATTTATTTTTTATTTAAAATTAAAATTAAAATTATATTTGAATTGAGTTAAATTTTTTTCAGGTCGAGAAAGCAGAAAGAGATTCTCCTCTGCACACCTCTATTAATTTAGATATGCAAACGTGCGACTAACATAAAATTTATGTTCGAGTCAATATTATTACTATTAACACTTGTTATATCAACTTTATTCATTAATAAATAAATTTTTGTTAATAAATAATTTTTGTAATAAATAATAGACAAGGAATAAAATTTTTTTAAAATTATTTCCAGATTTTTTATATATCATAAAATTATTTTACTCAGGAATAAACCCTCTATGTCAAGATGCTGTTTTTTTGTAAAATTTACCCTTTAAAAATTACAAATTTAAAAAAAATTACAAAAAGTTTGTTAAATAATGTCTTCTTTGAAATAATTTTCTTGGAAACAATTGGCGGCAAATACGTAGTTTATAAGACAGATAAAAACACATTTAATTCTCTTGTTTTAATTCAATATTAAATAAAGAATCTTGTATAAATATTTATTTATTGTGACAATGATGAATTTGCAACAAGAATATTTTATATTAATATAAGAAATATAATGCATTCATATATTGTTAATTTAACATTAAAAACTTAAATAAATACAAAACAATGGTGAAATACATTTTTTTTAATATGTATGCAATGTGTATGTATAAATAAAAAATTGTTAGTTTTTTTTTGCAATTAAAATTGAGCATATACCGCTTGTGTTCCATTCGGCGCGTTCGCCGTTCATCTCACCCCTAAGGCACCTCTCGACATACGTCAAAGGATCGAGTCTGGCCGCTAAGACCTCGCGCAGAAGTGCGATGTATGCAATAGCCAAGCGTAAGGTATCGATTTTCGACAATCTCTTTTCGTAAGGAAACGTCGGCACATGGACCCGGAGCTCGTCGAAAGCCGAGTTGATGCTGCTAAAAATTGCAATCACACTGACAATCCGTTTGTACGTACAGAAACATAAATGAGAAAAATAATGCAAAATGTTAATGTTATAGCAGGTAATACAAATTATATAAAACATTATATAAAATATTATAAAATAATATAAAATAAAATACTAAAATTATATAAAATATGTCAATTGTATGCATAATTAAAAAATATTATAACACATATCTAAAATTTCTTGGAACTATAATAAGGTAAAAGTAATAAAGCTACATTTACAAATCATTATTTTAAAAAAATCACGTTTTCATATTTATATAAATATTTATATATGTATAATGTATATGTAATTATTTATATATTATATTTTCTTTGTATGTACACTCCTCAAAATAATTAAGGGATAAGAAATTGTCCAAAAATATGCAAACATTAAATAGTTGTAACTTTGCTTTAAAAAATGATAATTTAAATTTTAAAAAAGATTTTTAAAGCTTGAAATTTCTACTTTTGAAAGATCATAGCTTTTTTCATTTTCTTCAATTCTGATAATTTTTACATACATAAAACGACGACATAACAAAATGGAAAATTTTCTTTTCACTTTGTAGACATGTCGCATACACAAGAAGGTTTAAAACAATTTTTTAACATTTTCACGTTAAAGTCTGAAGTTTTCCCTGTAAAATCGTTTTTTTTAATTTAAATTTTGATCTTTCCTTATTAAGTTATCGCAAATTGAAGAGAAAATGTCATTTTCACTTTAATCGTTTATAACTCCGTTAAAAATCATCGTACAGCAATTTTAAGAATAGATTCTTAAAGCTAAATCTTTGCTCTATAGTATGTAATAAAAACTGAATTTTTTTAACTCGTAAACTTTTTACAAATAGTGATAATAACATTTACAAATAATGATAATAACGAAGAAATTTGCGAGTTTTCTCGACTGAACTTTATATGCCTCCTAGTATCTCAAACTTAGCAAAAAATCACAAACTTGCTACGATTTTTGCCAAGTTTGAAGTATTAGAAGGCACAAAAATTTCAATCAATAAACTTTTTTTACTTTACATAATTTTTTTTCAGTGTTTTGTTTTGTTTCAAAAGTAGAGATTTCAAGCTTTAAAACCCTTTTTTAAAATTTAAATTATTTTTCAAAACAAAGTTACAGCTATTTAAGATTTGCCTATTTTTCAGACAATTTTTTTGATCCCTTAATTATTTTGAAGAGTGTATTATATATAATTATACAATTTTTTTTATACATAAAACCTGCAATACGTTATCATATTTAATAATTAATTTGTACATGTATATACAAATTATAATATTTTTTGCTCTATCTCAAAATAAATAATATTTTGCATATACATAATTATAAATTTTTATTATGCACATATTCATAAAACACATGTATATTTTAATTGAAAGAAGATTAATTTTTTATTATTATTTTCTAGAAAATTTCTTACCTGAGCATGCGTTTTCTTTCACGAATATTAGCGGCATGTCGTTGAATTCTGTAAGGGCTACCATTTGGATAATAACCTTCCTCTACACCATTCATTTCCGTGTCATTATGATCTAAAAAAAATTTGTATAATAGTACCTGAACAATTGAATTATTACAACTATTTAATGTTTAATACCTGGCGTTGAAACTGGCATATGGTAGTGCAAGGGAGAATGTGTATGTGGTGACGTGTGGGTGACATGCTGCGTGGATCTTCCTGCATAAACACAGGAAGGTAATTCGGCCAAATCTTCTTCAGTAATATCATTACTGGGTCCCACGAAATATTGAGTACTGTAAAATTACAATAACGTGCAGTTAATTTTATTGAAATAATAGTATAATTTTATTAAAATACGTATGTATAAATATATTACATTTTTATTTAAAAAGGGTATGTGTGCAAAATATCGTATACTTTCATTTGTATACTATTCGAATATTTAAATGTTTAAAATTGGTACATATTTTAGAATTTATACAATTTTATGTAATTCTTAAAAACGACACAGACATGTGTATTTATAAAATATATACATATACATTCTCAATATTTCTTGATATAAATATTATTTTATAATTAAAATTTATTATAATTTATTAAAATATTTATGCAGATATAATATATTAAAAAATACATTAATTAAATAAGTTTTATACATAATATAATAGTAAAACAGAAACAGTCTTTTTTATAAGATAAATAGATTTGTTTCAAATAATATTACCTAAATCAATATTAAATTAAAAGTATATGTATATACATAATTTATCCATATTATATGTATTTAAATCATACTTTAAATCCTATTATTTTTGTTTATTGTTAATATAAATGATCCATCATAATATTCTGCTATTTAATTTTAACAAGCAAAAATAACTTTAAATTTATTTTTAATAATTTAATTATACATATTTAGTAATAGTTTAATTTAATATCTTTGATATTTTTCAATTAATAATTTTTAAATAATTTTAATAACTAATCCAAATAATTATTTTTTTCTATATTGTTTACTCAAAAATTGTTGCATAGTACATATTTTCATTATCATTGCGACAAATATTTCTAAATAACAAAAACTAAGAATATAAGTTTAAGTGTATCTAATTAATATGAAACAAAATATATGTAAATATAAAGCAGTAATACATTTTTATACATATATAATATTTTTGAAACATATTTTCGGATAAAATAGGAACCTTATATTATTAAACTCTAATGAATTTTAATTAATAAATTACTAAAATGTTAGCAGAAAGGGATGATGCACTAAAAATAAATTATTAATACTATCACGTTTACATATTCGTGTGCGTTATTTTTAAAGTTTATATTATTAAAATTTAATTATTAAACAATATAAATTCTTCTAATTATTAAAAATTATAAAAAAGAGTATCAGAATATATCGGAATAAATTATCAGAGATATAAAACATCAACATATAAAACATCCAAGTTTATACTCACACCAACACTTACATATACAACGCATATGTAATACACGCATTCATCACATTTATGTAATGTTGAGATTAATTATATGAAAAAAATCAATATTTTTTAAATTTTATATATTAAAAGATTAATTTTTGATATTATACATATATCAACATATATTATATACTATTTAATTTTATATGAAAAAATATCAATAAAAATAATAAAATAATCTAAATAATAATTAAATAATAAAAATAGTATATAAATATGAATGAAAAATAAGCTTTTTTTAGATTTAGCACTTGTCAACACGTGTCTAATTATCCGAAGAAAGGGATAAAGATTAAATATACCTGGTGCATGGCACAGTGGAATCTGCGATTCTCGAGGTGGTGCCGACGCGATGGCGGATCCTCTGGCTCTTATCCTCAAAATCGTACGCGGGATGATGATTCGCCATATTACACGTCTTCACAGTCTCATTCGTCGTCGGTATTCCCGCAAATTGGGAATATCACGAATCAACGAAGCAGTTCGGCACTGAATTGTAAAATTGTTTTTTTTTTTTTTTTTTAATAAAATTGCAATTTTTTCCACAAATTCGCGCCAAATTTTTGGGGATCTCGGGGATTTCCTCCGTGTCTCGATCTCGCCGAGATCGATCGATAGCTCGAATCGGGGGTATATCAATACGCAGAAATACGCGAATTCGGACTGTCGGCGGTGTCCCTGGGGAGGCCGCTTTATATATGAAAAGCACCCGGGCCAGCACGAGGGATGATCGATACCAACCCCTGGGCGGGTTTGCAACCAATCGGGAGCCGGGATCTATGTTAAACGCAATTATCAAACCCGCACCGGATTGGTGGCCGGATGCTCCAGCGAGGGTTTTATCGGCCGAGATGATGGAGCGCACAACCCCGTAGAAAATTCTACTCGTTCCCACCCACCATTGCTTGTCGTCACCTCGACGGTAGACGCGGGGGTGAATTTATTCGCGGGGGTGGAAAGGGCGGGGCAATTTTTCAATTTCGCCAAACACGGATAAAATATTGCGCGAACGTTTCTTTCATTTGAAAACGATTTTCTTTTGTTTTTCGGTCCAGACTTATTACGCTTTTTCTCTCTCTCTCTCATTTTTTTTCCCTTCTTCTAATAAAATCTACGTGTTGTAACAGTCTTTTTTAATCTATCGTGTATCGTCTAACAAATTTTTAAACTTGGTTTACTTGGAAACAAAACTTCCTAATTTTATTCTATGTTCTCGAGTTGGTTTTATATTTATGTAACTTTTTTATAGAAAGCAAATTTTTTGTAAATCGATATAGCCCTGTTACATACTGCATTTTAGTTGATTTAAACTTGATTTGTTTAATTAAAACTTATCAGAAATTCGCAGTTTGCGTACTTTTATTGCTTGTTTATTGTTGTTGTATATTTGTATCCTAAAATAATTCTTATCAAGATTTTGTGAAGCACGAAAAATTCTTTTCTATATTTTTCTTTGTTAAATTATAAATAATGATTATAATAAATATATACGAATATTCCCTTTGATAAATAATTATATACTTATATATTCATATTATGGCTTTTAAATCTCTATTATTTTTATTTTTTTTTTATTATGTTTACAGTATTTTTAGTTAGTTAAAATTTTTAATCAATTTTGAGGATCATCAGGCTTCAATTTTAATTACTTTTATAAAAAACTATTTGCTCAAAAAAGTCTGAAATAATTTCTGATAAGTATTGTAGGATTATGATAAGTATCTAAATAGGAACCTATTATAATCTGTAGAAAGAATTAGAAGAGTATGATATTATCTAATAAAAAGAAAATTAATTAGTTACATAATAATTAAATTCTTTCGCAAAATTATTGCAGTTTAGATCTTTAAATAAAATAACGATATAATTATAAAAAAAATGTTGTCTAAATAAAAAGTAATATTAAAAATAATTTTTAATAACATTCCAAATTAATTGTTGTTAGATGTAAGAAAACATTTTTTCTTGTTGAAATATGTATGATACTTGAAATATGTTTTTTTTTTATACAAAATTATAAATACAACTCATACAAAATTATTGTTGCATGTATGTGTATCGTTTGTGTATGCGCACGCGTGAAAAGCTTATTGATTTTTTAACTTCTAGTTTATTATAAAGAATTAGATATATTTATGCTATAATTTTAATGTATAAAATATTTTTACTTACACGCATATTTTTATGTACGTATACAATATTGTATGTAAAATTTATTTTCTCTTTCTTTCTCTCTCAATAAATGAAAATATTAAATAGATTATATAATGAATTCGATTAAAGATAAGATACTTAATTCAACTATTTTTGTTCAAAATATTGACAATCATAAATAAATTTTTCTTAATTTTAATTAAGAAAAGCTGCATTTAATTATAAAAGAAATACTACAGAAAATGTCAGAAAAATTCAGCACTATCTCCTTATCATTATCAATCACTATCTATACAATAAAAAAAAATTAATAAATATTTATTTAAATATATAATTCATTTATAATAAATAAATATCGTCATTTAATTTCACGTCAAATCAATATTCTTAGTTTCAAACGAATGATTTATTAGGCAATATTGAAATAAATATTACTCGAGTTCAATAAATGTTTGTTCGCAGTTTAGAGAATCGATCTTATACAAATATTTCACGCTAGACGCAAAAAGATGAACAAAATCTCGCCGTTTGCGCTTGCAAAAATATTGATTGTTACGACAGCCTGAGAAAGCATATATCCTCGAGTGGGGTCCGTAAGATGACATATCCGGAGAATAGCGGGCTGAACCGAAATTGATCAGCGACGACGCGGCGTCTCTTTTAAGGGCGCGATTATTAGCCTTCCCAATGATATGAATGGGCCAATATTCAAATGAGCCGTGTTTAGTGCACGCGCGACGAGAGAAACGCGGCGGTGCAATTATGCGAGGTGTTAATACGATCACAATGGTGGTTGTACGCCGGGGTTGTACCTATCTATACTACACGGTAGAAACCGGACAAAGTTTTGTCCCCGTTGAAACGAGTTTCGAACGAAGGCGGGAGAGAGAGAGCGAATTGTTCGCGGTTGATCCTCGCCGAAGGCATCGAATTATTATTGGCTGACCTATACAGAGCGGCGATATGCATATAATTAGGCCCTGCGAACCTGTGAGAACACAATCATCCGAGTCCTGCGCAACTCTTTTGTCGCGAGAAAGATTGATCCTTCGATAGCCAATTTGTAATTTCGATACTATCTCACGGTGCAAAAATCCATTCGGAATTAATAGAGACGAGAGAGAGATAATGAAGATATTATATACTGAAATCATTTTAGATGCAAACAGGAAAAGAGATTATCCTTTTATCACTTCTAAAAGAAGAATAAAAATACACTTCTCAACATAATGAAGGTGTGAAAAAAAATTATCCAAAAAATCAATATATTTTGAATAGCTGTAACTTTGTTTCGAAAAATGATAATTTAAATTTTAAAAAAAGATTTTAAAGCTTGATATCTCTACTTTCGCAGGATCATAGTTTTTTTTTCATTTTTTTCAATTTTAATATTTTTTACATACAGAAAACGACGAACATAACGAAATGGAAAATTTTCTCTTACTTTGTAGACATTTTACATTCGCAAAAAATTTTTTTTTTATTTTTTAACATTTTCACGTTAAAGTCTGAAGTTTTCCCTGCAAAATCGTTTTTTAAATTTTAAATTTTGATCTTTCTTTATCAAGTTATCGTAAATTACAGTGAAAATGGCATTTTCTCTTCAATTTGCGATAACTTGATAAGAAAAGATCAAAATTTAAATTTAGAAAAACGATTTTGCAGGGAAAACTTCAGACTTTAACATGAAAATGTCAAAAAAATGTTTCAAATTATCTTGTGTGTGCGAAATGTCTACAAAGTGAAAAAAAAATTTCCATTTTATTATGTTCGTCGTTTTCTATATGTAAAAAATATCAGAATTGAAGAAAGTGAAAAAAGCTATGATTTTTTTAAAGAAATTTCAAGCTTTAAAATCCTTTTTTAAAATTTAAATTATCATTTTTTGAAACAAAGTTACAACTATTTAATGTTTGCATATTTTTTGGACAATTTTTTATCCCTTAATTATTTTGAGAAGTGTATAATCAAATATAATATATAAAAATAAAATATTAAATAACATGGAAGTGACAAGTATAAATAAACTATTTTCAATTTTTTCTTTAATTTTAGTGTATATAAGTTTGTTAAAAATATGATCTGTAACTTGAATACTATATCTCATGATGAAAAAATGTATTTGAAATTATATGAGATAGAAAGAAAGGGAAAAGAAGAGAAAAATAAAGACATAAATATTACTAAAATTATTTTAAAGGAAAAGAAATTATCCTTTTTGATTACTTCGAAATAAAATATTTTGCAACATAGAAGTGACAAATAAATTAACTATTTTCAATTCTCTTTTTTAATTTTAACATCCTAGGTACGCACACGTCATTTTGACATCGAATGACGTCATTGTGACATTTAATAACGTGAGTTTGCTACTTGGGACATATAAACTTGTTAACAATAATATGATTGTTTTTCAAATAGCTTTTATACTGTTCACATTGTAAATTTTGAAAAAATTTAAATTGGGTCTACAAACATTGAATTCTAATGAAATATTTTTTCCTCGTATTTTGCCAAATAATTTGCGTCACATATGTAACAAACCAGATGTAACTCGAGTACGTATCGTTTCATTCGCGCAATTGATCCACAATTACTTGGGAGCGTGCCGTTTCGAGTATCACCATGACAAATTTCAAGTGAGCTTTGTATCCTCGTACAAACCATTATTTATCTCAATTTGTCGCGTCTGTTTAAGGGAGAGCGAGCTTCGAGATTCACTCCGAATATCTCTTTCTCTCTTTTTTTTCTTTCTCCCTTCATAGCATTCGCACGCAATATATTGTACGCAATATTTGCATATCGATTTGATGCAAATCGCAATGCATTTTTTCAATATAAATTTTTGTCAAATGCAAATCAAATAACTTATATAAAATATGAACAAACACGTATTTGTATCTATATTAAATTTTACTTTATTTATTACTTTATTGTTTTTATATATTTTCTCAATGTAATATTTTTTTATCTGTTATTTAATATTAAATATTTAATATATTTAAGGTCTGATTATGTAATATTTTTTTATATATCTATCATTTACATTTTACTGCGAATATGTTTCATAATTTAAGTACTTGTATTAAAAATGTTTTTATATTAATGAACACGAAATATGATACACCCTGCTATATAATATAAAATCAATTTAATATAAAAAAAATCTAAAATTTTTTTAATTATATAACTAATATAGTTATATTTTTTTCAATATTATAATTTATATCAAAATCAATTTTGTCGACTATATTTTCTATTAAATTAATATATATAAACTATTTTAATTATATAGAATAAAATAAAATAAATTAATAAATTACACATATATATAACGTTTCAATTTATGTATATTTATAATTTGATAAATACATAAGTGCATCAGAAATCTCTGAGTCGTCGAAAATCGTGCAGAGAGTCAAATCCACTTCCGATTGGATTTCCTTAAACGGAGAGATCGTCGATATCCGAGCAAACATTTAATTCGCGATTACATTATTTTCGAGGGGCGAGGACCGGCCGATTACCCCTTGTCAGCGCCAGTGCATCCCCTTTGGCACACAAGCACGCACACACACACACACACGCATACGCATGCGTGTCCGCCGAGCAGCTCTGAACGCGCTCGAATCGCTTCGACCCCCTCGGAATAATAGAGATTTCACGCCGCGGGGCCCACTTCGGTTCTCACAGTAGGGGTCTGGAGCTGTCGAACGGCTTCCTGTTGTCCGACAGTTCAATCTGGACTCGCGCTCCTGCCGAGACATTTAATTCGCCGGCTCGCGAGAGCGCGTGCCTCTAAGTATCTGTTTATAGTCTCTGGGGATCAATTTGTTTGCGAAATTATTTATTGGTCAAACGTCTGTTTGATCCGCGGATTCGAAACGCGGTTTGGGAAAAATAAACACTTGGCTATACCCCTTGAACCACCAGGTAGATTTTTTCGAAAATCAGCGGCTAGATTCTACGTAAGTGCGAGAAGACATTTATTAATTCATAAAAAATGTATTAGCAACAATTGATTTTTTTTTTTAATGTGAATAATCCTCGAAATAAAAAATTGACTTTAATAGCTTCTTAACTCTTTACTTCTATTTTGTTCAGTACAAAATTTATTAACTGTAAGAAATTAATGTTATTAGATCGTTATACTATATCTTTCAAAAAATATCTGTAATTTGATTTTTAGAAATTAAATACTTAATTTTACCGAAATATGATTCTTTCAGATTTATTGAAATATTTTATTGAAATAAAACTTATTTGATTTAATTAACCAAAAGAATATAATTGTATTATTTACATGTTTTTAGTACATCCCTCATTAAATGTATTTTTTTTTAATTTGAATTTTTTGCCATTTCCTAATTAATTTTTCTTCAGTGAAAAACTAAAGTGATAAAGAAAGTCATTATTTATTAGATTTTTCCAATGTTTACTAAGGTCATTTTTCAAGCTCACATGAAGATCAATCAATTTTTTTTTTTTTTTTAATAGAACCATTCCAATTTTTTTATACAAATCGATTTCTCGCAATATTCGGTGTAAAAAAGTCATAAAGGTAGGATGGCAAAAAATTGAAAAGTTTACGAGATATTAGTTTCTTTTAATCTTCAAAAAACTTTTTTTTGCAGTCTTTTCAATCTTTCTATTAATTTAACGAAAAGATTCTAAAATTAAAGATACTTTAATATTTTTGAAAAAAAAGATCCAGGTTAAAATTAAAATGAAGGCAAAAGAATCCACAGTTGAAAGATAAAGGATTTAAGGATTAAAGAATTAAAGACAGTACGATATTAAAATAAATATATAATGTTATTTTTGCTATCAGAGACTAAAATATCGTAATTATTTGTAATAAATATACCAGACACCCATCCAAACTTATGTTCTTGAGTCTTTTTGTCGCCTAGCATCTTTACAAATTCACCTTTTGGAGAAAAAATCTGCACTCTTCCATTTCCAGCATCACCGACGATGATATTTTCTTTCTTGTCGATTCTCAACACCTCGGGTGATCTATGATAATTAAGAGTAATTTATTATTATTTACAAAGATACCTCTTTAATTAGTAAAGTAGTAATCTTATATTAACCTAAACAAACCCTTTGCTGCACCGGCGCCGCCGATTGTTTGAAGAATTTGTCCTTCATGATCAAATATCTATATTTTGCATAAAAAATTAATATTTTATTTGCTATACAATATTTATTTATTTTTATATTAATATATTTGTGATTATAATAATCGAATGTTAGTTGTAATTTCCCACTCATAGATGTAACATTTTTAATATTACATATATTACATTGTAGTTATATTGTGATTATATCCCAAGATAGCACTGACTTATCAATACATCAATGTGCTATTTGGTATATAATTACAATATATCTACAATGTAATATATGTTATATTAAAATGTTACATCTATGAGTGGCAAATTACAACTAACATGGATGTTACATGTAACGTACACGTTATATTACCTGTTATATTCCGTTTTATTATAGCAATGTAACAATTATATATCGGTGTTTGCTGGGATTATTATAAAAATTACATTACAAAATGTTTATTGTAATGTTTCATCGCAATATTACAAAAAGCGGCTATCTAGTCGTTGCAGCAATCTTGCGGCAATATTTTGCAACCAATATGCGCAATATTGCAATGTTTCAATGTAAGATCTATGCAATGTTTCTGCAATCTTTCGGTGCTGTATGGGATGCACATTTTACCTTCACGCTATGATTACCGGAATCGGCGACGACGACACGCGTTATCGTGACGGCCACGTCGGTCGGCTGATTGAGCTGGCTCGCCGTCGGGCCGGTTTTTCGGAATCTGACGGTGCCCTTCGCGTGTTTACCCTTGGGTCCGATGCTGTCGAGATAAGCGCCGCTACTCTCGAGGACCTGGACGCGATTGTTTCCGGTATCGGCGACGTAAAGCACGTCTCGTTCCGGATGAAACGCGAGCCCTTCCGGCGAAAGCAGCTCCGACTCGCCGTGGCCCTTCTTGCATATCCGACGAACGAGCTCGCCCTTGTGATCGAACACGAATATGCAGTGCTTCCATTTGTCTGTTAAATTGATATTAAATTAGTAGTATTGATAAATGGATAAATAAGCCGATAAAATTCATTACTTCATTTCATTAGCTTCCTGTGCAATAATTAATATTAACTTTATTGACAAGGTAGGGTGAATGGGGAAATTAAGTGATAATTTTAATGAATTCCCCCTCAAAGATTATTTGCTGTATATCTTGTAACTAAAATCAAACGTCCAGTTTTGCATTGCTTGAAAAATTGATATTTAAAATGTAAAACTCAATGAAAGTATAATATCTATTTATAAATGTTAATTTAAATATATAATGAATTATATAATATTAGTTTCATAAAATTTCTCACAAACTTACTTTACTATAAATAAAATTACTTAAATAACATTTACTAAAAATTAGTTCGTGTACCTGTATAATAAACTTTCCTGAATTTTTATTGAAATTGTAATAAAACTACAACAAAATGTAAAAAAAAGTTTTAATTATGAGAGATTTTAGTATGTGATTCAATACTCTATTTTAGTGTAATTTTATTCTCTAATTTCCGTAAAATAATGTCTATCAGAAAAAGAATTTGAAATGATTTAATGGAGTTTCCAAATATACCAAATAAAATCAGAATATCTATAGTAAGAATAGTTTATATTACAATTTTGATATTTGTCATTTTTGTGCTACAAAATATCTCTCTCTCTCTTCTTATTTAAATATTAAATGTCAAAACCTGTCACGTATATCTCATCATGTTCTTGCAGGAAAGCGAGTCCTTGAGGCGCCATCATCTCTCGGTGACGAATCCTCCGCACAACTTTGTACTTGCTGTTTAGAATGACAACCTGTCCTGATCCCGGACAGGTCGTGATAATGTTATCCCTCCAGGAATCAACGGCGAGAGCCGACGGCCGCTGCACCACGTCACGATTCGCGATAATTGTGGATGTGAATGTTCTCCGCCTGTGTGTCACGTTTTTATTTTTATTTTATAACACCGTGCTTATAATATAATTATAATTAAAGTAAGAATATAATTTAATATAGAAATTATTTGAATATTTTTTAAGTTATGCATTTTTCACGAGACTTCGCAAAATAATATTCACTTAAATTATAAACAAATTTCTATTCATGCATTTTTTGCAATACTTAACAAAATAATATTAAATTATTATTAAATTGTATTTTATTGAATCTCTCAATGTTTTTTGATATTTCTATATTTAATATTTTTATATAATATTAATATTTCTATATTTCTATATTTAATCATGTAATGTTTATAGTTCACAGAATTTATTTTAATATTAAACTTTTTGTAATTATATTATAGTTATAATATATAATCATAATATATAAAATTATATTATAATAAAGAATCTATAGACTACAGAAATAATATATTTAAAAATTGATATTAAATAAAAAATGTTTGTTTACTTGTACAGAGGACCAACATTTTTTTTGACAACCGATTTTTCCTTTTTATTAACTTCCTTAAATCCTCTTTCTATATTATTCAATTCCGATTCCCAAATAGTAATTGCTGCCATAACTTCTGCAGCTTTTTGCTGTAAATCTATAAATGCGTCCACCTGAAACAAATACAATTTAATTTAAAGTATACTAAAAATGGATAAAATTAACATGAAACTTAATCACACAGATTAATATTAAGTAATAATTTTGTGTCATATTTGCATTTAAAGTGAAAGAGTGAGAGAGAGAGAATATTCGATAATTAAAATATAATTAATGAGTAAAGAATTTGATCAAGATTGAAAAAGAATAAAGCAAAATTAATTACACCATCGTTGATTTTTAATAAAATAATTTAGCCGATATTAATTAAGATTATAAAAATAAAATTATTCTAATTTAATGTAAATATTAAATTAAAAACTCTCATTCTTTATACATATACTAGCTTTTCGGATCGCGCTTCGCGCGGTCCTCAAAGCCTTTCTATTCGGACCGCGCTTCGCGCGGTCCTCATATAGCCTATATTAAATCCGTTTTAACACAACAAATTAATTCTTTTTTGTATTACCGCGAACTACTTCCACATTTGTTGTCTGTCAAAATGTTGTGTATAAAATATCTGGGAGAAAGAAATAGATAACATAGTAGTCATCCACAAAAAAATTTAAACATTTATTTTGGTTAATATATACTTTAAATATTTTTTTTATTACTTAATTATTATATCCTTTTTTACATTTTACTCAATTTTTTTTTATTTCTAATGTACCCACCGCTAACACGCTATTATTAGCTCTCATACAATATCATAATTCTTCAATTTACAAAATTTCCCTGTATATTACATTTTTTGTAAAACATTTTTCACTTTCTTCAATTAAATGTCCTTGATTGCTACATTCATCAATTTTAATTTTTACACTTTCTCTTTTTGTTGCTCTAGAAAATGCCACATAAAATTGACCATGAGCAAATACAGGATGTGGCAAATAAATTCCAATTTTTTCTAAACTTTGTCCTTGTGATTTATTTATTGTCATAGCAAATGACACTCGAATAGGAAACTGTCTTCGTTTAAACTTAAATGGCAATTCCAAATCATTTGTAATTAAATCTATCCTCGGAATCATGACAATTTGTCCTCGAGCAGGACCTGTTATAACTTCTACATAAATTATATTATTTTTCAAATTATCCTTGCACTGGGGACGGTGGAAAATGTTCAAAAGGTTTTCCAAAAGAATTTTGTGATAAAACTAATGCTAATGTAAATGGATATCCCATCTATCAACGTAAGAATATTGGAATAAAATACATCGTTAGAAATAAAGAAGTGGTGTGACCAAGTCAATAAATGCGTATGCACATGGGTGCATGGGTGGATAAATAGGATGATAAAAATTTGTTAAAATCATAGTAGCCATCCCCGACAAAGTTTGAGTACAAATTTCGAAAAAATCTGTGAATAAATGTGTGAATGCGTAGGTGGAGGTGTAACACTTGAAAAAACCACATCGTCACCATCTCCACAAAATTTGCAACATTTTGGTACCAATTTAAAAAAAATCGGTTCATAAATATGCGATTGCGTAAGTGGGTGCGTGGGTGGAGGCGTAAACTTAAAAAAATAAAACAGCAGTTTTCTCAGAAAAGTTGCAACATTTTGGTATCAATTTTGTAAAAATTGGTCCATAAATGCGCATGCATTTGTGTGAATGCGTGGGCGGGTGCGTGGGTTGAGATGTAACACTTGAAAAAACCGCATCGTCGCCATCTCCAAAAAATTTGCAACATTTTGGTACCAATTTAAAAAAAAATCGGTTCATAAATATACATTTGCGTGGGTGGGTGTATGGGTGGAGGCGTAAACTTAAAAAAATAAAACAGCAGTTTTCTCAGAAAAATTTACAACATTTTGGTACTAATTTCGTGAAAATTGGTCCATAAATGCGCATGCGTGTGGGTGAATGCGTGAGTGGGTGCGTGGGTGGGGGTGTAACACTTGAAAAAACCGCATCGTCGCTATCTCCAAACAATTTGCAACATTTTGATACCATGTGTTCAGAAATATTGCAAAAAAAGAAACATACCCTCCTCTGAGAAAAAAAAAATTAAAAAATTAAAAAAAAAAACCCACAGCAGCCACCCCCGAAAAATTTGCAACATTTTGGTACCAGTTTCACGAAAATCGGTCCACAAATGCGGAAGTAGTTCGCGTACATACATACAGACAGACGGTGCTTATATATAAAGATATCAAATTAAAATAATAAAAAATTGTATGTATGCCATTTTTTAAAAATGTTATATAGTTCATATATGTAATTAAAATAAATAGAATTGCGACGTAATAATAAATTACAATTCAAGTAAATATATCTTATAATCTTATATCATTATATTACGCGTACAATAATTATATGCAGAGAAATAATTAGAAAACTATTAATATAACTCGATTTTATTATAATTTTTGTATTATAAATTTATTTTTATTAATTAATTAAATTTCTTTTTAATTAAAATAACGTTTCCTACATACATATATGTACACATTTTGGGACCTATTTTTGTATATATTGCGAAATGACCTGGATTGTCCGAGTTTGAATAAGGCTACAAAATTGACGAGCATTTCTTCTATGCACTTCCTTGCTGATAAATTGGCCAGCGAGCAAAAATGAAATATGCAGAGCAATGCAGTTGACGTTCTCCGCCGCAAATCCCGCACAGGGTGCAACGACGCGTCGCTAAATTGCGGCCAATCGCCGGCATAAAGAGGGATGAAAGGAGAGAGAGAGAGAGAGAGAGAGAGAGAGAGGAAGGAAGATAGAGAGCGAGAGAAAGGTGAAGCTTTGTGCTTTCTGGCACTTACGGTACCCCAAAGTCGGTACCACTGGCAGTCACGTGGCGAAGCGTGCGGGCCCTTTGTACTTATCCCGGCCGCCCTGTTTTCTCCCTTGCTTGCCCAGCCCGCTTCATCGTCATGAGGATCGCCACGATTCAGATGTGCGAGGACACGTGTACCAAATAGGCTTGGTGGCCTAAAGCCTGTTTGCGTCGGCGATGGACCTCCGAGGTTGCGACGACTCGCGAACCCCAATAATATCTGACGAGGAATTTTTACGGAATCGATTCGTAGCGTCTTCATAAAAATTGGGAGACACATAAGTGAGCGAAAACTATTTTTCCACATGCTTTCTGTGTCGTTGGCATTTTTAATCTTCCCTAGTAGCACAATCGCATTATGTGTCCTAATAACCCTCTAGTAACACAATATACATTGGTTATACACTAAGCTAATTACATACTCAATTGTGATATTACGTTGGCTGAGAATAATCTCTAATATCTCGTCAGGTAAGTGCTTTTTCGTCGTCATTATAAAAAATTCAGTAAAACACAAGATAATGCAAGCTAAAGTGACGGCAACAAAGTATTGGAGTAATTATAATTTTCTGCTTGCGAATAGACACAAAATTTACTGCGATTGGCCAAAATTGGCAATATTGGGAATTTCTTAACCCAATATTTCTCAATGCGAAGGTAATATTGGTTATTTATAAAATACTATATACTGCCAATATTGGGGCAATATTGGTAAACAATAAATATCCAATTTTTAATATTGGGTACGAACTAATTTTCTATATTGGTCCAATATTGTAAAGTGTACGCTCTTTCTTTTTTAGCTAATATTGTTTTCTAATATTCCAATAAATTAATTTCATTTTTAAACAATATTGGCAAACAATAAATATGCAACTTTTTATTGGCTATATATTAATTTCTTATATTGAACTAATATCGTATTCAAATTTTGGATTAATAAAAAAAGATAAATTCAGAACTAGTGCAATCAGCAACCAGTTTAATAACTATAAAGGCCGTGTTTCAAAATTGACCGCTATATAAAGAATAGACCATGCAGATTAATAAATAATATAGCCACTTTGACTAACGCTTTATGATTTTTATGACTAAACTTGAATACGAGATAGATATCTTGTTGCGCGTCACATAGCGGTAAATTATAAGGAACTACCGATTACAAATATTGTATTGCAATATTGGCAATATATTTTCATTTATTTCGCGAAAAAATCGCGGTAATCTTGAAATCTTTGAGGCGATTCTATCAATCGAATAGTTTATAAATTAATTAAAAATTTTTATATATCAGTTGTTATTTAAAACAACTGATATAAATATAAAATAATTGAAAAATATAAGTTAAAAAAATTAAACGCATACTGATTAAATGATGAGAGATTGTGATGATATTGAAAAAATATTACATAACAAAATCTGACAAGTTGTGTCACTTCAGAGATAGCTACACATACAATATTGTACGCGTTTTTTTATAACAAAAAATATTTAAAAATCTATATAAGAAAATTTTGTTGCGTCTAATATCTGCGCCTGGCTTTTGTTATCTTTATATCTCATTTTGTATCTCGACGCCTTTTCAATTTATTATTTTTGAGAATTTTTATTAGCTGCAACAAAACACGCATGTTTCAGTTTTTATTTGATACAGATTTTGGTGGCATTTATTTTCATGCTACATGCATTTGTCTCGAGAAAAAAATCGTTTAAAATATTTCTACGTTAACTTCAAAGTGCGGGTGCAAAGCGCCTTTGTTATCGTTTTTCTCCGACACGTAGGTACGCCAATCAGGTAGACAGGGACATAACGTATGCCGATAAAATGGTTACCCAAGAATCGACATCTCTGTCCGACAATGCGGTATTTTCTCTGCAAGAGTGAACAACAATGTAATCGTGAACTGAACGAACTATCTCTAGTGAGATGAGAAAAATTAGAAGGAAAACGCAATGATGAAAAACGATACATTTAAGAGAGTTTTCATGAATCGCGTATTCGAAAATAATTACATCGATCGAACAATCCTGCATAAAATAATAAACAAATAATTATAATATGCGTTAATAAATTCTCTCTTATTATAATTTATATAATTACATGCAATGATAATGACATATACATATATTATATTATAAATTAGTGCATATTAAACGTGTGTGTGCATGTGTCGAATTTTTCCAACAAAAATGGAAGAGTTATAATTATTTAAAAGACATTTTA